TGGGACGAAAATCCTCGCGATGACACGATGACGTAATCCTCTTCAACTCGATGATAACAGCCGGATTTCCTTGCTTCCAGCACTAACTGGTGTGTCTTCGTGTGCTCTTCAACGTGCACTGCTTGTACTGCGATAACTCCGGCGGAAGTTACAGCGTACCTTGTAGTGGCCTGTCACAATGGGAATAACTTTCCCGCGCAGCACCTCTTTCCTGTTAGAGGCCTTTCGATGCTCTTATAGTGTGGTATAGTGCTGAATTGCGACCTCTCCTCTGTTGCTATATTTACTCAATGCAATGACTTGATGTCTTGGATCAACTTGATGTATCAATCTCGAGGTGTTGATGTTCGAACTCGAGATGAGTTTTTGCTTTTCAGTGTTGTTTGCTAGTAATACTGCAGCTTATTGGGGATTAATTTGGTTTAGATTAAGCTGAAAAGCAAAAGTGAGGATTTCTGGTGGTGCATAGCAATTCTTTGATTGAATTGGATATAAGGACCCCCGTAACACTTTAGACCTAAAACTCCCTTGTTCCTTGCATGATGAATTTCCATGCGAACGAACTAGATGATTAATACACGAGTCAATAGTAAAGAGGTGTCAGGTATATTTCCTCCAACATATCCTCTTTCCAATCTGATGAGCAACCTCTATCTTCGACTCGTGGTGAAACTTCATTCCTCTGAAGCGCTCCAGATCTTCGACTAGGTGTGCAAGCATGTGGATTTTGGGAGGAAGCGTCCTTGACATCTTTCTGAAAAGACGCACTAACCGTGGCACCAAGACATCTTGAATCGAAGCCATCTCACTGTCTGTGATTGTCCCATACGGTTGGTAGGAGTAGTGTGAGAGTATGCCCATGTATTGGAGGATCCGCTTGAACCCATTGCAATACTTTTGAATCTCGGCATCGTCACAACCTCTGGCTCTCTTGTCTTGTGGAATCTGTTGGAGCAATTCCACGATGGAGTCCATCACCTGATCTGCACCATGCAACATCTTCCTGCAGTAATTGACTACCATGGCTCCACCATGCCAGCTCGACCGGTGGATGTTGAAAAGATTGGCCATTTCTTCATCGAGGCTTTGTCGAATCTCCTGGCTGAGGGCACCGTATTCTGAATCTTTTTCGAGCCTCCTCATTTTGGCAGCTGCTTCCCTCCTTGCAGCTTTGGCTTTCTTTAGCTGCTCTTCGGCCGCTTTGAATGTTTCCTTGGCTTCGGTAAGCAAAGCGGCATTTTCGAACTCTTTGGATGCGTCCATAATGTCTTTGGCACACTCCAGATCGGCTTCAGCTTGCCTCTCATCGATTATTGTATCTGCCTCTTCCCACCTCGCTTGCAGGAACTCCATCGGTCGGTTCTCAAGTCTGTGGTCGACATAGCCATCAATCATTTGCTTGATTGTATTGGTGAAGAGATCCACGTTGTGCAACACTGGAGTGAGGTAGTTCCTCACGGGAATGGCATCAAAGATTGGTGGCTGCACACAACCTCGAACCTCTGTTGATCTTGGCTGCCTCTTCTTGTCTTTTACGATCTGTTGAGCTTTCTTTCTTTGGTCGGCCATGGCTTGCCAAGTCCAAGGTTGACCGCACTCGAGGCAGTTGGGGCTGTTAGTCCATTCAGCCTTTCCAAGCATACACCTCAGACACCAGTAGGTGCTGTAGCCGTCTCTGCCTTGGGAACACCCGCCAAACTTGAGATCTCCAACCAAGAAGCTCTCGACATCGACTGCATGCAAGACAATGATGCCTTCTCGTTGGCTGATCTCATCCCTTCTTCCAAATTCGACGAAGCGATTGTGGTCTTCGTCTTGGCAGAAGACAATGTCCGGTCCAGCTCGCTTGATCGACTCATTGAGTGGCTTTGCAAGGGACTGCGTGATTACTTCATATGTATCCTTCTTGCATTCTATGAACCCACAAAGAAAGTCTTTTTCCAGCGCAAGATTGTACTTGTGGACGTTACCTTTGGACAAGAGGAGAATCGTCGCCACGGCACGGAATGCCCCTTGGCCATGGTCGGCACCAAAGACAATGTGGCACACTTCAATCCTTTGGAGATCTCCTGCCTCGGTAAGTCTCTTCATTGACCTGTCCAATGACCACTTGAACACTTTATCAACTGGCCTATAATGGCTCATCTTTTTTCGTTTGCCCTCTTTGAATGTCAGATGAGTAGGCTGGAAGACTTCAACATCAAGAGCTTTGATCATCGCAACTGGTTGGAAGGGATTGTATCCGATTGCCACAATGGTGTACATTCGAACTAGCTCGAACTGGTGCTTCGATAGACTGGCATCAAGCAACATTGCCTTCTGATGATGAGGCTCCATTTTGGGCCGCTTTGATTTCAGCTTCCCTTTGGCTACTTCTTCGAATACCTGTGCATCCAACGCAGCGAGTACTCTGATGAAGACTTTCCTTGCATCGGAGATTGTGAGCTTCCCTGTCGCCACTGCCTCTTCAGTCATCGATGCTTCCAATGCTGCTGGTAAGAAAATCTTCACGTTTTCATACAGCCTCTTCGTGGTTGAGGACGGAGTCAGCCAAAAGTTTAGCATCTTGCTCTCACTTCGACCTGATCTATTCAGTTCCATAACTTCAGGAACGTCCTTCGACACTCTGATCAGACCTAAGCAGACATCACGGAGGGCAGGAACAGACATGGGAATCCCAAGTCGATTAAGTTCTGGATATTCTTTTGGATTGAGAGTAAGTATGTCTTTTTGTTTGTATTTTACTGGCGCCTTAAACGGCGCATAGTGCTTTGCTAGCTTTTCTTTATGTGTCTCAAAGAAGTGTTGTTCCATTCTATCTTTCAAAAGGGCTACACCTTCCTCATTGTCTTGGAGAGCATGAATCATTGCCGGCTCCACAATGCCATCAAAAAGCTTCAAGAAAGGATCGGTTATCGCCTCCTCCTGTCTCGGTTCGGTTGCAGTTGGTTGCTCATCCAAGTTGGTTGGAGTCACAGCCCTTGGCTGTTGTTGTTGTTGGGTCTCTGTTGCCTCCGCGGCTGCTATGGTCAGTGCATTGGGCTGTTGTTGTTCGACAAGCCCTAACAATATGTTGACCGTTTTGGATCCAGTTCAAGCAGAGGCTCGGGGATACCTATGCGGATGGATGTGCAGAGTTGGATCCACTTTGGTGATGATGTTGCATTTGACTCTGGTCGACTCCATGGCTATTGATGAGGGTGGAGCTACATTTTCAAATGGTTTGCCTCAATCCACAACGGCGTTCACATCTAAACTTCACTCCATAAACTCGAAAAAAGTGAGACAAATGTCGCCCGGGTGGGCATGAGTTTACTATACGAATTATCAGTACTAACAAAGTTTCCCGCGCTTTCCGCCCTTTTTCTAGCTCCGGAGCCCCAACCCAATGTGAGTTTCTGGAGTGACTATTAATAGCGGGGAAATGTGAGGAAATACGATATACACAGTCTCGACTCGCTCTCATAACTGTTGTCTCTGTCGGGTGTCCCGGGGGAACATTCAATCACGCCAATCACGTCCATGAGCACGCCACCACATCGGTTCGCACCCCCATCGGTTGGACAATAGCGGCCCGGCGCGCTGAAGGTGCTTCTGCAATATTATTGCAGCCGCAAATTTCATATCTTTCCGAACGAAAAAATCACCACAATGAGCTCCAGGAGGCGACTATCAAGCCGATTCGCCGGCCACTGACAATGCCAGAGCCAGCCATGAACCCATATGTGCCCCTTGGATACTTTGTTCTATGGATGTATAACAAAACGAGCTGAATTCAGGCCGTGGAAAGGCCAATTTCGAACGGTGATTTGTCATTGGGACACGATCTATAGCTCTACTTAGACATACTCTGCGTTGGCTCGATAGACACCACCAAGACTTTCGTCCGTAACGAATGGTTCTGACCATGACACTGGCACTTTGCTGAAACAGACGTATTCAAAGTGGTCTTTCCATTCAGTTTTGATGATGTATCCATTGATTGAGTGGATAAATCCATCGGGAAGGGTGTTGGACGTTCGATTGGATGACACAGGCGCCTCATCTGTCGACTTCAATCCCTTAATAGTTTTCTTGTATGGTGCTCTCTTCTTACCTTCGAAGCGTTCCTCAATGGATAGACGGATTGCTTCCACTTCCGGGCGACACTGTAGCATGATTCGTCGAAAGATTGTGTTAGCTCTTGCCTCTGTGCTCGTCATGCAAACCAGAGGTTTTCGGATCGATTCAATCCTTTTATGCGCTGATTCGAATCCTTCTTCTGAACAACGTCCAAGCATCAAGTTGTCAGCTGCAAAGGCGGATAAGTGCGACCGTAGAACGTGCAGCTTATTAAACACGTTCATGTCCTCTCCATTTGAGTTGTCATCACTCTTAAATTCCATCCAAAGCTGAGCGTATTGTAGGGTAAGAGAATCAAATCTAGTCGCCTCTTCAGTCGACCACTTTCGTTGGGACTTCATCATTGTAGAGATGTGATACAGCAGCTCTGCCAGACGGCGAAATGATTTCATTGCCTTTTCCACCTGAGTTTGGAGCTCCGGATTGTTCCTGAAAAGATGTTTCATTCTCTTTGAAATGAGCTCTCTCCTTTCTAGAACACGTATCCCATCTCCATTCGAAAGCTCGAAGCCACTATTTTCCACTCGAAATGATACTCTTCCGTCGACCTCATACGATTTTCGAAAGCAATACGTTGCAGGACCGACAATTCGGCTCTTTGTTTTCTTGGCAACACCATCCAGAAAATCGTTTCCCTTTTCGAGGAACAGCTTGGCCGATTCAACTCCTTTGGTCATCAGTGTTAGTTCAACAGCAACACGATGGCGATCAGCTTTGATAGCTTCGATCTGATCCGTTAAAGCAAGTTTTCTTGCTGTTTCGGCATCTCTTTGAAGCTTTGTATCTTGCTTCCGAAGCTTTTCGGCCTGTTTCACCGATTGCATACAGAACTCCTTTGCTCGATTAAGAAGAGTCGACAGCTTCTCCAGCCAAGGCAGCCCTCGATCAATTCTCCCCAAAACATCCAGCATCCTCATTGTGCAATGCGTTAGGAGTCCACTGGAGACGTGCATGCCCGAACCAGAGTTGCGGTCTGGTGGAGTGTTCAGTAGTGGTTGGTGTACCACGCTGTGATATTTGAGCTTGAGCTTCCTTGCCTGACCGGTCGATGTTGCTCTTACCCAATCGGCTCTTCCTCCTGCCTCGGCAATAAATGAATCATACAATGTTGGATTTGAATTGCCGCCTTGCCGAAGCGCTGGCTGTTCATTTGACGGAAGAGTTAAATACTTGCTGAAGTCCTTCTTGGTACAGATGCACATTGTACAAGGGCACATCACACCTGCAGTTCCCTGCCCCATTACCGACGTATTGCATTTGATATCATCAGCCGATACACCACGAAGTCGAAGAGTTTTGATCCGGATCGAGCTGGTTGCGGTACAGTGCAGTGACTCATGAAACCTCGCATGATAAATATCGCGGCCAAAACTGTTGGTAAGAACAAAACCTTCATATTCGGTCTGCTCATTCTCCTTTCTCACTAGTTGTATGCGTTGCTTGGGGTGGCTTTGGTTGGCAGAAGGCTGAGTTGTTTCATGATCATTGAGTATCGAAACAAGGGTCGGCAGGTCCGATGCAGGAGGCTCCAGCCGAAGTGTGTTGATATCATTGTGTCGATCGATGTTGAGAGCCGTTTCACATTCTATAACTCGACACTTTGCGTCAACAACGGAATCGCCCTCTTCAACTGCAACAACAATCATTTGAAAGCGGCCATCAAGAAGCATCTGCAGAAATTGCTTAGTGGGTTTGCTGGAATGAAACAAGGTCTTGTGCATGTTGTTGTAGCTTTCTTTGCCATATTCATAGAATGCCAAGGGAATACAGTACTGTGGGGCGTTACCACCGCTACGGTTGGCTATTCGAACCAAGCAAAGCGTAATGTCACCTCCACGATCAGAACCTTGAACCACAACGAGCTCATTTTGGTGTTTGCTGAAAGATGACGAGTCATCGAATTTTCCAGCAATGAGAGCGCTCTCAGTCAGCGATTCCACGACCAGAGCTGGCTCCTTTATCCAGACATGCAAGCATCGACTATTACGCTTCTCGCCTCCGATCTCAAGGGAAACCAACTCAAAGCCAAGCCGTAGATTGAATGATTCCATCGCGTAGCTTGCAACCTTCTTCCTCAGCATACCCGGAAAAAGTTGGTCTCCTATGTCTGGTAGCGTGGCTTTGAAGAACTTTGAAAGCCTCTCCATTCCTCGAGCGGTAACAGGAAGATATTGCATCAGAGCAGCACATTGCTCGATACTCAATTGAAGGTTGCTCGAAGGAAACACTTTCATCAAATGGTTCAGTCCAACGATTTTCATGACCGACAGAAGTTCGCTTTCGGATAGATCAAGATTGGCAAGCAAAGTTTCGACAAGTTGTGCTTTGCGCCTGATTTTTCGACCACGGCCATCACCCTTCGTTTGTCGACTCTCTTTGATACGCAGGATCTTCATTGTTGAAGCGCTTCGAAATTGTCGAACCGTAAGGATTTCATTCTCATCTGTTATTGATGTTCGAGGTATTGGCACTACTTTGTTCTGAAAGAGGAGGAATAGTGCTCTGCAAATTTCTTCTTCACAGTCACGGCTGATCGATTGGGACTTGATCTCCGAATGTAGTCTTGATCTCATTTCTGTTTGGGTTGCTACATCCTTTGTCTGCCAACCACCTCCATCACCATCTGTTTGAGTAGCTACCTCCAAACCATCACCATCTGTTTGAGTAGCTACCTCCGAAAAACATCTTGTCTCATCAGATAGCTCATCTGTTTCCTCGAGCAAAGGCGATCTGGCGTCAAATCCAAAATCAAGTCGAGTCCTCCGTTGCTGTCCAGCATTTACATCATCAATATCTTTTTGACCGAAGAACCTCATGGGCGTCTTTGGCGACCCCAATGCCAAGTTTTGTAACTCTTCTACGAGTGTTGGAGTTGTCTTCAGATCTCGTCGTTTGAATGCTTGGGCTGGAGATGGATCACTAGGCGAAAGAAACCCATCTGCCTCCGAGATTAACTCTTTTGCTTGCGGGGTGCTCTCTTTGTTTCTCTTTCGTAATTCATCATCCTGACCTTTCTCCATGAGTGATTGAATAAAGTTGTTGTCTAAGGACAGACCACATGCTCTTCGGATACTTGGCTTCGAAAACCCCCAAGCTTTGCCAAGCATTGTCATTGGAGATGTTTCTCCCTCCTTGCCATCAGTATCAGGTCCAGTTCCGGACAGTCCGAAGAAGATAAACAAAAGAATATTGTTCTCATGAGGACGTATGGACAACCGAGATGCAGAGTCATCATCAACAAGTCCTCGCCGAAGCCAACCTTTGTCAAACGATTTGTTTCCCTGGAAGACAAACTGAAAAAGCGGAGTATTTCTTGCTTTGCGAGAGGCGGTGCTGTCTCGTAGCACTGACAAGAATTGATCCTTTATGCTTGCAAATTGGCTCGGGCTTGCTGCTTGCTCATCAGGGGAAATTAAGGCTGCTGGAGCCGGGGATGGAGGATTGTTGTCATTGGTGGCCGGGGATTGAGGACGGTTGTCCTTGGTGTCAATTTGCAAGAAGCGACTGCTCCTCCGAAGCGCCATGTTGGCAAACCTATCTCTAGCTCTGCCACAGCTATACGTTCCATTCCATGGCCCTCTTGCATGATCGTGGAAGCCATGGCGATGCCCATGATTTGAACGGACATGAAATTTGTATCGACTTTGGGGTGAACTGGTTTTGATATTTTGAATCTTCTTGTTGCTTGTGCTCTGCCCATCCACAATTCTCAGCTCTCATTCGGAGGCTTCGGCAGCACAGTGCAGTACGCGAAGCACAATGTAAGTGGCTGGTTGGAGCTTGTGGCCACATCGTTCAGGCGGGCCGGTTGTTTCCTCTGCGCCATCGCATCGACAAGCAAGTTGCTGTTTTATGTGTTGTGTGAAGGAATTCTCTCTCGAAGGAAGGTAACTACCTGGGAAAGCAAAATTGGGGCACTTAATAACACGGAATTGGAAGTCCATCTAATCGAATGATTCAATTGACTCAAATTTGGGCATAGTACAACACTGCTTTTGCACTCATGAAAAGCTTTTCAGAATTATTGTCTTTTGGCGTCGTGCTGGTAGAAGCCGGCTGAAACGGTATAGTTGCAATAGATTGTTGCACTGGTTGCTTCACCTCATTCAATGCGTCGCCTACAGTACTGTATCGGTACTCTAGTAGCTACCGGTATGGTATCGTATCGATATTATCCTACACGTGCTAGCTAGTGGCGATTCAAAGCTCTGTTTGTTTGCCAGCTAGCTGCTAGGAGAACTCATAAAGGATAAAACAAATCTTGCTAGATTATAGACAACAGGCGCTACTAATAGTTGTGAGGAGTGAGAGCAACCGGTGTCTTGGATCTCTACGTTTGCTGGGGTAATGCTGCAGCAGCTCTTGCTGCTTCGAATTCATTAGTTGCAATTGTGGCCTCCACCACAAGCTTTGCACTCTTGACTGCAAGCTCGAGAAGCTTTCCATTATCAGATGTTTTCGATTTGGGAACGATCAGGTCAATTTGTTTGATACCATCTGGAGTTCGTGCTTCTTCATCTCTGTTGAAGAGAAGAGTAATCCATCGCCCCTTCGTCTTCGATCCTTTTACTTTGTTGGCCTCCAACGTCCACGTGAAGCGACTAGTAAGACGAAGCTCGAATGTTTCAACGTTGTCTCCGAGTTGTTCAACGACAAGTCCGTCCCCTTGCTTGACATCTTGCACTCTGTATACCGACAAAAGGAAACGGTAGCTAGCACTGTTGGCAAATCGATCAAACGTTGCTGATCCTCGATAGTTGCGAAGCTTGCCGTCGTATGTTTCCAGACAGATTGCCACCGTCCTGTCTTCTTCACTCATGTTGTCAAAATCGTCAACAGGGTAGAGCCAAACAAGAGTCTTCCATTGGTTGGTGTTATCTGCGGCTCCATGGATGTCCATCGTGACGGTCAAACGTAAAGAGGAGCAATAAATGAGAGCTATCGATGGCAGACCACTTGGTCGATTGGCTCGATTCAGACTTTTCCTCAAGCAGGAGCACCCACTGCCTTGTCTCTTAAGAGCTCGACCTGGCTTCCAAGAACATTCCGAAGAGGGAAATGAATGAACCAACCCATGCGGTGTGCCCCGGCCAGCTTCTCTGCAAGGCGTTGAACCGGAAAACAGAAGCAAGCACCACAATGCTTTCTCATTCTTCGGATCCGCACGCAATCAAAATGGCAAATCGACTGATCAATGATGAAGTAAAGATTGCTTTCTTCTCCAAACATGGCGCCGACGCCAAACCTGTCTCAAATGAGACGATGGGCGTCATTGTCAATGGCATTCGTACCGGTATTCAGCGTTGTGTAGACCGAAAAAAGGATGTAGATATGTTCTGTTGCCTGCAGGGAGATCGGTACATTCCCAATGCGCGTCCAATTCTTTTGTACGACCTGGATGCGACCATGGTTTCTGCTGCCAATGGACATCTTCGGTTTTTGACGAACCAAGGAGGCCACATCCTCAACGTTATCGTCAGCGGCGGGGCCAACAGTTTTGAAATGGGGCGTGATGTTCCTCGGTCGGCTGGCCATGCTGGAGTTCCCCATGCTGTTGCCCCCCCAGCCCCTGCTCCCCCAGCCCCTGCTGCTGCTGCTTCCAAACCAAAAGCCAAACCGGCCAGTAAAGAGAACCGCAAACGCAACAAGATGCGCCCTTTGCCTGAATCTCCAAGTGAGAGCGAAGAGGAGCCCCAAGAAATCCAGCCGCGACGCCACCGAAACCACCGCAACCAACAATGCAAAGTGCCGCCAAAGGATCTTCTAGACAGCTCTTCAGATTCATCGGAAGCCCAAGATTTGAAGCACTTCTCCCAGCTGACTGGCCGTGGCCGCCATAGCGGTGGCCGTAACAATCGTTGAAAATACCATTGTCTATTGATTGACGGAGTCAGTTCGGTTGATGTTGGATGGATGGAATGGTTTGCTGCAGTCGATTCTGAGCTATTATCCCTAACCCTTCCTATATAAAAATCTATATCAATGTATACTTTTATGTAGTCGCCAGCCATGGAGGTGCGGCAGGCGCTTATTGTACATCATGAACCGATGTGCCACGCACGACATCATCAGACTGGACTGGACTGGACTGGACTCGACTCAATCGCCCTCGTTCCAACCATGGCCATCACGTCATACCGAGGAGCAATCGGCCTCATTTACTCCTCCCGCTGCAAACAAAAAACATGGCGTCCAAACAAGAGACCTTGGTCCAGGTGTGCTCGAGGCTTGTTGGAGAGCATTTCAAAGAGGATCCTTTTCACAAACCTTTCCAGCTGCAGAAGTTCAAGCCCGCAGAACACGCTTTGTTGTGCGATTTCTTTTGGAAGACAAAAATATCCCCGGGGACCCCCAAAGAGGCGATCAACCATGCCTGCTAGTGCACGATCTCGAAAACCCTAGCCACAAGGAAAAGACTGTCTACAAACACATCGAAGCTAACAAGGGCTCGTGCATTGGACTCTATGGAACATCGGGTGTCGGGAAGACGCGCTCCACGTTTGAATATCTCAGCCACAACTTTGGTTTGTATTTTGTTGCAAGCACAAGACACGATGCAGGCTCCTCTGATTTGGAAAATCTCCTCATCTGGTTCAAACGTGTTCGTGCGCACTTCAGTGTTGATGGAAAATCGCAAGAGGAATATGAAGTCCGGAGCAGGAGGAATTATGACTTCATGTCGGATCACATACACAGTTGGTTTATGTGCGAAATGTGGTCTATGCCGCCATGAACGAACAGTTGAAGAAGAAGGGCCAACCATGTCTCACCCCGTATCAATGGCTCTTGATTCAGCTTTATCCGGAAGAGGCACTGGGATGGGATCTATTCGATGTTGTTCATGGTGAATTAACCGCGGGAGCTGTCTTGAATCCCGAGGACAAGTCCATTGCCAGTCTATGATTGCGCAATCCACCGTGGGAAGTAATGGTAGTCGATGAAACTCAAGTGCTGTTGAAGAAACTGCATGATTTTTTCGTCAGCTCTGAGAACATCGCAGTTCATGGCTCTGCTTTTTCTGCTGTGCTCCTAGGGTTGGAAGAGGCGGCTGTTTCCGCGGGCGGACACTCCCGAGGACATCCGGTGTTTGCTGGCACAGGCATGTCAATGGAAAGTTTCAAGGAACAGGCCAATTCTAGCATCGCCAAACAACCAAATCGGGAATCGGGGACAGGCTTTGTCTTCCAAGATTTTCAACTTCTCAGGCCAGAAGGAGTGGAGGAGTATCTTTCCTCAATCATTAGTTTTGAGGGTAAGGGTGTTGATAGGCATATCCTCCAGCACCTGTACAAGTGGCTTCGTGGCCGCCCGAGACTGGACTGCAAGTTTTTTGGCTCTTTATTTGGTCCGAGAGAAAAGAGAGAAGCACAAAGGGACACGTGGATCATTTTCGGTAGCATCCGCCAAGCTGATTCAAGCGATGGATAGATAGATATCTCGCATCCTACACAACAAACCCTGATGATGAAATAGGATCTTTCTCACCCACAAAAGGTTCGCCTTACGTAGCGATCCGGAAAGCAATCACAATTCACAACGACCTCCATGTAAGGAACTGCCTTGAAAAAGCTGTGTTCAAGTACGCCATAGGAGGAAATCCTGTGATCCTTTCCGCTCATACAAATTTCCTTATCGAAGCTGGTGTGGCTGCTCTCCGCAAAGATGAAAGTGGAACTCAAGCTTACCTGGACGAACCAGTTATGGTTCAGGCAGGCATCAACTTTTTTTCTCTAGAGGATTCGACTGTGGAAAATCTAACAGGTCAAGAAAAGGGGGGGGCAAGGTGACGCTTTTGAGAAGCTTCTGCTCCCGGCGATTCGTGACAAACTCTTGTCAATTTTGAAAAAACAGCAGGACGAGTCGGGGCATAAAGGTGTTGTCCGAGTTTAGGGTATGTGCTGGATCGGCCTATGGAGTGCTTGCAGTAGATTGCACGGACGACATTGATGCAACAATCAAGTGGATCGAAGATTCAACCTCGGCTTCATTCGAAGGACAAGTGGCTCCTTTCTGTTACCCTGATAAGCACTTTGGGCCTGATCTTCTCTTCCTGATGTGGAATGACCTTTACACGAAGTTCTGTAGCTGCCTCTCGCAAGCAAAATTCAAAGAAGATCTCAACGAAACGGATGCATTAAGGACAATCACGCCGTCGCTTCTATACCATGAAAACCGTGGCAAGAAAGGTCAACGTGTGTCACGTTTCTTGAAACAAGGGCCAAAGGCGCGATGGGAGTAGGTAAAACCAAAGCTGATTGGAGAAACTCACGGTTCTTTGCGCCTAATTGTGCAATACCCATGTCACGAAAAACTATCCGCAAGGCCTGGAATTATTCGAGACGAGTTTCCACAGGGGCAGCGCCAAAGAAAGCAGACAAGCCAGAACAAAAGAAGTGTGGGCAAAAACGAAAGTATGGATGGCTTTCGACAGTCCGTCTGGTGTGACCAAGGAAACTTCACTACCACGGCCGCTGCAATGGTAACTTGTACAGTATTGAGGAGATGCCAGAACTCAGCAGACTCTGGGGTGCCAAGCCAAATGCATCCGGTGGCCATCGCTTCACGATCCTCTCGGGTACTGGAGATTTTTCCTTCGGTCATTTGTTTGCCTGATGCTCGGTTTCCCTCACGATACTTTCCACGGAGTTTGGCTCGAAGCTTCGACCATTGCTCGGATTGAAAGACAGGGATGCCGGGTTCATTCCTGAATTTGTTGGTGAAGTAGACCTTCACAGAAGATCAGTACTGGGTCGCTGATTGATAGGCGAGACGGATGTCTTTAGGGTCACAATTGATCCTTGCGTCAATACACATGTGCATGAAGAAGGCTCCGATCATCCTATCCCAAATTCAAAGACTGCTTTGTTGGATGACTTCCTGGGTATGCCTCGGAAGGGAATGGCTGCTGCTTCAGCTACCTTGATTCCGATCTGGAGACAGTATGTTATCAGAAAGAAGTGAAAGACTAGTGAATTTTACCTATAGTCTAGTCTCCGCAGTTTCATGTTCTAGCTAGTGGATTGTCTGTCAACTGACCCGGCTCAGTCATCGAAGCATCATGTCTACCGTACTCTTTTGCAATCTGTATTCATCTTTTCTCTAAATGCTGTTAGAAATTGCAGTGATCTAGCCAGACAGTGCAGGCGCCCCTGAATATGCTGTATTCAAAGCTGCTGTTGGTTGACACTTCTAATCTTTTGGTTAATCCACCAATAACTTGTGAGCCATTGCTCGTCTTTCCGCCCTTCCAAGGATATCTTTGGAGCTGTTCGAGCGATGTTGTTTCGTTGCTCGGCCTTCCTTTGTACTGTCTCCTCTTTCGCGAGTTGTTCGTCGAGTGAACGTCATGCTCGAACCAAAGTCTTGCGACGATTTGGAGCGCTGCGGCATCTTACGACGCGTGGTTGGCTTGATCTTACCACCCTCGCCACTGCTACGGCTTGTTGTCGACTCGGACACAATGGTGTCCCCACCGGAAAATGAGTGAGAAGGCAGCGCATCTCGAGGCAATTTGGACAACGATTTATGCAAATTGTGCTCGACGTCGGAAGTAAAGTTGCCCGTGCTTCCTCGACGCACGAAGGTGGTGCCTCCATCCGTGCTTTTGGTTCTGCGAGGTCCACGGCGTCCACCGAGGCGGCCTTCCGTTACTGTCGCAGCCGTCGCAGTGGAACGATCCCGCATGGGTTTCATAGCACAGCCGTCAGTTGATCGAGTCCTTCGAGGCGCACGTCGTTGAGGAGGGCTACTCGTGGTAGCCTCCTCCGGATTGCTCCCTCTACGGGCCATTCGACGTTCAGGTGCGGGGGCAGGATCATTATTGTGAACGTCTTCGTTCACGTCGTTCGATACTAGCCCCATGGTGGACCGACGACGTTTCTCCTTGCTATCACGACTCACACCGCGAGAAAGACCCTTCTCCTCAGCAGGATCCATTCCTTGACTGGCTCTTCGCATTGGCCCCTGACTGGGATGTCGGCTTCTGCGTGGCGTATCCTTGCTGGAACTACGTTTGGTCATTCCGCGGTCTTTACTGGCACTTCGATGGCTCTTGTTGTTGTTGTTGTTGTTGTTGTTGTTGTGCGCCGGACCTTTGCTGGAGCCCCTTGCCTGCTTTTCCGGTGTTTTGCTGGTACTTCGCGTTTTATTGGGCCGTTCCTTTTCGCTTTTCGATCGACGCAATCCTCGTTGTCCTTTGCTAGTACTAGTAGCCTGTCGACTATTCGCACTGCTTCGATGATGCCCGTCCCGTCGGTTTCTCGATGATTTCTTCGATATAGCCTTGTTGTTGTTGTTGTTGTCTTCTGTGGGAGACTCTTCGCCTTGCTCCATGGAGGCAGCACTCCACGAATTCGATTGTTGTTTATGAAATTCTTCCGCAGAAACCTTTTGTGTTGCTACAGCGGTTGCCACCGTGACATTGTCCATATTACTGTCGTCATTTGCAAAAAAATCGGTAGGGTCCAGTTTCTGACTGGATCGCCGGCTTTTTGCCGCCGCATCGTCCGTGGAGGAAGATCCACTCGTAGTGCTGACGAGATCGTGCGGTGTCAGGTCAAAGCACGAAAAGGACTTGGCGAAGCGGTCGTGCCGCGATTGTTGTGGCTTGGCTCGTTTGGAGCGTTTCTCTTTGCCGTGGCATGACTTGCTGCTCTTTTTCTTGACGATCTTCTTTTCTTCTTCTTCTTGCTCCTCTTCCCTCGGCGGCTGCTCCTGCTCTCCGGCGATATTGAAAAGATCCAATTCGGAAAGAGAATTGTCAAAGGTACCACTGAACGAATTGTGCAGCCGTGGATTATTATTGCTGCTATTCGAGAACGAGTTGTTGTTGTTGTTGTTGTTTTGATTCTCGGAATTGCGTTCTTCCAAAAAGGCCGCAAATTCATCTTGGTCTTTCGACGACGATTTCTCGACGGGTCGTCTGCCTTTGCGAGGAGCTGCCACTGCCACTGCCTCGGCATTCAACTCGTGCGGGTTCCAGTCGTCAAATCCGGCAAAGGATTTGGAAAAGTCTCGGGTGGATTTGGCCTTGGCGGCGCGCTTGCTACGGGGAGACAACTTTGTTGTTGGTTCGGCATCTATCTCGGAAGGGCGGGGAAAGTCCGTCGTCATGCTCATGTGAAGATTATTGCGAGAGGGTTTGTTGGTATCGCGGGACAACTTGCGGGCACGGCGTGTCTTGGGTGGAGACGGTGGTTCTCCGCCGTCTTTGTTGGTTCGACTCGAGCGTAGATTGGAATAGGAATTGGAGGACTTGGATCGCGCAAGTCCTCGCGTTCTATTATTGGGCCGTTGATGATTGTTAAAGTCGTTGCTGGTGGGGATTACTCGGCTGGGTTTCCGTTCAGCAGATGCAGTGACAAGTTCCCGAATGGTTTCTTCTGTGCTTTTCTTGCTGCTGTTGTTGGACTCATTCGACTTGTTGGTGGTGTCGGATGAACGACGATTTTCAACGGCTGCCTCTCCATCTGACTCTTCCCCTTCTGCCACAGCTGTGGGGTTCCTTCCAGACTGCTGATACTGATGAGACTTGGAGGTTGCGTCCATGATGAGGTCGCTGTACGACGGTTTTCCGCTGCTAGACTTTGTGCTTCGCTTGCCACTCTTGCCAGTGCCGGCCGCTTGCTCCATCTCGTCCTTGTCCAAGATGAAGTTAAAGGCGGAACAGGAAGCACTCATGTCACGTTTAGACCGATTGGTTCGAGCTCGTCGCTTCCCTTGCTCCGGGTCAAAGTCAAGGTTGGCCATGCTTCGAGACAAAGCTTCGCGTGTAGCAGACATGGTGGAAAACGGGTGGATGCTATGGTTATGAGTAATAAACAAACTAATGAAGCTGTAGCCACACAGATACAGTACAGTCAAGGCTCTTGGGCCAGCAATAGCATTGAATGCGTCAAAGTTAGACTAGTTTTGTCAACTCAGTTTCGTCGAATGCTCCTCTTGCTCTTGTAGAAAACCAAAAAGACTTGGTGGCAAGACGGATGTCCTCGTTTTCTTCTTCCAGGATGTTCTATTGGTTAGTGTGTGCGAGAGATGTTGCTGCTGGTACAAGTTGTACGGCACTGGCTACCGTACCGAATGGCTGGTGCGGGAATTGTCGGGTCGCACTCCCACGGATATTTGCGCGCATCCATAATTCCATAGGTTTACTTGCTTCAAGTTAGTTAAATCTCTCCAAACTGTTTGCTTTGACTTGCTCATCATTGTCAATTTCAAGAGACTTTGAGCAAGACTCACTGTCGAAATGACCCATACTACTTGAACGGAATGACCTTTCTCCTCACTTTTCAACCGCATCCATATTTTTAGCCAATCTTGGAGCTTGAGTCCACAACAATGGCGACACAGCGGACCTCCATCTCCAAATCTCACCACTGTAGCCAGACAGACAGATATACCGGTACCGGTAGCTATCTGGACAGAAACCAACCAACCGCTGGAGCAGTACTTACCAGCGCCAACTCACAGCCCACTTTCAATTGATCCAAATCCATTGAACGATGATCTATGGTGGGCGGCCTTTACTACTTTGTACATACAAGCAAGCTGGAAGCAGCAGGGCACAACGTACTACCGTACCGGTAGCTAGTAGCACAGTCGTACACTCGCGCACCTCTTTTGCTTGTCAGAACGTCAGAACGTACCTTTGCTTAAGCCTCGCTCCTTCCGGTTTCTATTTTACAATTAGTACTACCGTAGTACGGTACCCGTCAGCGGTACTGGTACCATACCGGTAAATCTGTAGACACCAAGAAAGCACATAGCTAGCAACCCTTATCGGCACGAGATGCCAGTACTACCGGTAGCTAGGCTGGTCCCTTCGAACTCTAGAGCATTTGTAATATCATGTAGCTTCTTCAAGGCCAGCTACCTAGCTAGCCAGCCATGCCGTATCAAGATCTTCGTCCAACTCGTTGTGGAAGGCGGCAACCGGAGCTCCCTCAGCAATCACGTCAAGGTGTGGGAGCAAATATATCAGGTGGAACAAAGGTTAGCAGCTGGCCTGCATCCACTCTACTCTAGCCAGTACTAGCACTCAAGTCCCATGCGGCCACATATCAATCAATCAATCAGTGATATCTTCATCCGGAGAACCCACCTTGTAGAATTGTATGATTGCTCTCTGCTCCTCTCACCGAAAAGAAGGTTCGTTCCTTTTGCAAACCCACACGACTGCAACAATCACAAACAGATGCTACTCTGTTTCAACAGCTTGAAGTGCCAAGAAGGCCTTATTCAACTCTTTATAGCATACTCCAGAGCCAGAGCCACTCCAGCAATTGTATGGTAGGCCGTGTCATCTGTCATGAACGCCTTGGCTAATCTTATCAGCATGTCTTCTTTTCAACTTACTTTGAGAGAGTGGACAGAATACTTGTTCCAGAGTCATCTAGATCTATCATCATACAGTTGATAGTAGCTGCTCGAGTATCAACATTATGCGAAAGATATTTCGAAACAAGATAGATATCCACAGTGCTTGACACCGGGTGAAGGCAATCCCGGCAGTACATTGAAGAACACTCTCTTTTCCAACCGCAGGAGGACAATGACAAGCAACTAACAGTACTAGTCTAGCTAGCTAGAAAGAAAGAAAAACTACTGTATGCAATAGAAAAACAATATTATGTAACTTGTAGTGGATCTTGTGGTTCAGAGCTGAGTGGTGGAGTCAATGGACTGAGATAGAGATATGTGAAGCAGCATTGCTATGACTCGAACTGAAACAATGAACAATGAAGGGAAAACTGTAGGCTTGTGTGTGTGCATTCAAAATTCAGCAAAAAGGAAAGCATATAATAGGATGCGTAAAAATGATGATGACATGGTAGCGTGGAAGTCTTGACGCAGTAGAGTGAGTAGTCTTGAAGTGTAGACAAGTAAAGTAGACTTGTTTTGGTATTTTAAATCCATTATTCAACAGATCAGGGCCAACCACGGTCGGTTTGTCTTGTAGGCTGCGGATGGTGACGATGATGATGATGGTCGGTTCGATGACGGCTCTCAACGGCATTCTTGCCCTTTTGCACAGATTCCATGGCCAGGTCGAATAGCCAAAAGGTCTTGCGTTGCTTGACCGGACGAGGACTCCATCGTCGCGCCGGTCGTAGAAGGGCCTTGAAATCCACGGGTTCGTTCAGACTTCCATGCTTTTCCCACTGATGGCGGTATGCCACCCAAGTGGCAGGATGAATGAGTGATCCATCTCCACCATCTTGAAAGTGCTCTTCTTCGGTAGCATTGCGCCAGTCCGATCCATCCGCGTGGAACTCGAACGAATTGCGATCCTTCTCATAGTCCAGTGTGTCAGCGTCTACCCACATGTTGTCCCACTCTTCATCAGAGTAGTCTTCATGGTGCTTAATGCGATAGAGCTTGACTTCGGGGTGGAAAGATACCCTTTGATCCTTGGCCGGGGTGGTGTGAAGCACGGATCTCTTGTGTCTTAGGCATGGTGGAGAGCTGCGTGTCGACAAGACGCTGCTGCTCTGTCGATGCAAAAGTCGTACTGGACTCTTGGAGGAGGAAGAGGTGCACGAGGATAACGGCGGTTGAGGAAAGATCCCGAGCTTGGAGTAGTAGCGAGCTCGAAAGTCGTTCTTGCTGGTGGTAGCATTCATGGTGGTGCTGCGTCCAATATCTCGTCTGCCTGTCATTGTGGCCGGTCTGATACCATCAGTATCAGTCGTTGTGATTATTGGTGCTACCATGATGTGGCTTGCTGGTTTTCGTGAATACTAGCTAGTACGATTGGGAACAATGAGACCGGTAGCGAGGCTGGGTTCTTGTGTGATGCCACCCATCATCCGAAGCCAAAGCTGAGTTTGGAAAGGCTGTACCAGGTACAAGTTTTTGTTGTTCCAGAGATTCAGAGATGGGCACGACGAAGCTCCGGCTCTGCATCACTGTACCAGCACAATCGTAGCAAGCAAGTACGGTAGTAGCTGTCACATCTGCCGCTCTCTCGTCTTTTGGAGCTCTTTTGGTTGCTCTCGGCTTGGTCTACTCTGTACCACAGTATGTGCGTCAGTTACAAGGCAGTTAGCCAGTGGTGAGCGACGAGAAGCCAGGTTACCAAACTCCGTGCTTTTGGTCGTTTGGGTGGTTGGACAAAAAGGGAACATTTTTGGCTCCCAGTCTCCCAATGGCTCCAAGGAGTTCTTTGAGAAGAAGGTACTGACAGGGGTGCTTCTTCAAAGTGTCTGATGCGACTAAGATTCTTTAAATCATGGTATTTTAGTTGGCTTGGCTTTAAGTCATAGTTTTATTCGCGGCAGAGCAGGAGCCAATGAGATGCATTTGCAAAAATTGCACAACCTTTCTTCCGGAAAAATGAGGCGGAAAGTCTAAAAACGTTGAAGAGAAACCATTGACACCTGCTTGGCACTTGGCACATGTTCGGGAGGTGTGAGACAGGATTGACAGGGTATCCGGAAGAAGGAGAGCGTGGGTGCCCATAATAGCAATGCAAAGAAAAACGATGTCAGGATCAGTCTCAGGTGCTGAGCAGCATTGCAACCTTGACCCTTGACCCAATAGCTTTTTTTATTAAGACAGCCAACATCGGTACTAGTCTACTGGTTAGGTTGTGGATGATACTGACAGCTACCGCCGGTGGATGTTGCATCGTTGCATCCGCTTGCTTGTGTCGGTACCAGGCACTGCCCCTGCTGGAGGCTTGTCCTCCCTTGACTCAAGTTCAGGCAACTCGATGCCACTCTTCGTCTAAAATGCGATTCTTCAACCGTCTTTTTAGGCATAGTTTGCCGAGTGCCTTTGCTAGCTAGATACTAGGGAGCAGAGAGTAGAGCAAAGAAGAGCCAACGATGTCTCTTGTGTGAGTGCCTTTGTGTTTGTGTGTGTCAACTACTGATTGCTACATGTATGTAGTCTACCTTTCTTGCCAAGCCGTAGCTCCGCTCGGTCCCATGGATGTGGAGGTTTTAGCATTTTGGCCCTCCTTACAAGCAGCTTAACAAGCTTATTTGTAAGGTCTCAACGACGACTGAGGACTCTCAAGCATGACACTCCTTTTGAGAGATGACCGAAACGATGGAGAACGCAAAGCTGCAACGCAACAACGAAACAACATACATCAAGAAGCCCACACAACAAGCCAGAATCCAGCCATTCGGCTTGTATCCACAATCACAATGGCTCGACGAGGGAAAAAATCAACGCGAAAGAATCGAGATTCCACAGTTACGGCCTCCTCTACCGAAACGTCGTCATCAACCGAGGAAGCTGATACCAGTAATGGGTTTTTGCAAAAATGGCGAGATCTGCCCCCGTATTTTTGGGTGGGAGGCGTAGTTGTGCTGCTGGCAGTGGTGGTACTATTGGTTGTCGGGAGTGTTGGTTCATCCAACAAAGCTAGACTACGACAACAGCAGCAATCAGCGACAACGACTGCAGCCTGGAGGCAACATTTTAGTTGGATGAAGAAGGGGGATTCAGGACCATTTGTGACATTGCTTCCTGGAGAGCTTCCGGGATACACTGGATGGGCACGACCTGCGGCGACTCTGGCCAAGTATTTTCAGTTGGACGAAAATTTTTATATTGCTGAGCCAGTAGAGGCAGGGAAACCTTGGGAATTGAAGGTTTGGTGCTTGGAGGCAGAAGAATGTGCAAATGGAGGAGCTTTGTTTTTTGTTCGGGCCTACGGACCCTCAGTCTTGGCAGGTCAAGTGCAGGATGAAAAAGATGGAAGTTACATCATTACCCTGCTACCCAAAGATCCAGGGCCATATACACTGGAGGTGGTGTTGACATTCTCCAATCCAGACCATATTGGGCAATTCCCCTTGCCGGAGGGTCAACCAGAGCCAGCCTATGAGGGATATCTACTACCTGGGTTTCCTATTCCCTTCTTGGTTGTAGAAGGAAGCGAATACAAGAGCAATCTAGAAGCAAGCTACAAATCACTGCCAGTTTGTGCAATGGACGAACTACTGGAAACGTCCGCTACCAGCGCCTTGGAAAAAGCTCGGTGGGTTGTTACAGATAAGATCAATCAACCCAACCATGTTGATAATCATCTCTACAGAGACCAGATCACATTCCCAGGCTATGAAGTATCAGAGAATTCATTGGGAATAATGATGGATTATCGGCATGACACATGTCGGATTCTACCCCACATAGCACCAAAGCATCCTCAGAATCCACTGAATATGTGTACAGAGGCCAACGGCCCTCTACATTTCATCTTTATCGGAGATTCAAATATGAAACTGCAGCGTAATCTGTTTGAGACCATGTTCCTGGGCCTACCAGAGGATCAACGAGAAAAATCACGCTACAACGAACACATGATTCGGGCCTCCTATCTTGACCTGACCGGAGGAGCACTAAGGAGCAACCTGATTGGAGGACATGATCACAATGTCACTCGGTTCTTTCAGACAATATTGGCGCGAAAAGATGAATCGCTGGAAAAGCCAGAACGATATGTTGTGCTGTTCAATACTGGCATGCATGACATTCATCGACTTTGCAGCCATGAATTTGCAGCTGATAGGATAGCCTATCTGGGAGAACAAGCCACTGATGCTGAACATGGATTTCACTGTGTCATGCATTATCGTTATGCAATTGAAGGACTTGCTACAGAAGTGCTCAACTTTCCCGCTGACCTTCGAGTGTTTCAATCAACAACTGCTGGTACGTATCAATAGTTGGTGTGTACATGAAGACTTCGCATTGTGTTCAGTCGCCTTTGGTTTTGTTTACTCACCTGATTCCAAACTTGTTTTGGATGCTTGTCGCGTACTTTCTAGGCTGGCCAAAATATGGTAACTGGGGGGTTGTTTGGCCACCAGAAAGCGCTCAAAACATGCCAGTGGCAACTGAATTCATTGATTTTTTCAATGATGTTGCCTATGAGGTCGTGAAAGATTCCTTCCCCACGATTAATATCATGGATGGGTACTGGGTCAGCTATGCTCGTCCAGACAATCGAGAGATCAACTTGGGAAAGAAGAAGGCATTGGAGAAGAAGTTATCCCACCCTGGAATTGAGGTGGTTTCAGCCATGCTCAGAACATGGATCACAATTGTTACTCAGTCAGACCTGTGCAAGGAAGACGACTAGTAGAGAGGCAGGTTTTCCATTCAATCTACGTTAGTGCTTTGCTTTCCAGTAATGTCTGATTCGATTCCCCGATAGACCTTGTCCCTGGTTAGGATCGCCGTGGGTAGTCACATTCCATGCTTGTGGAGCTTCGGCGGATTGATCCCCGGTTTCGTCCCTCTGGATTCTTGGCAGGGCACTTCTTCTGTGACAATTGATTATCGTTTTCGTCGGCAACAGTCGAGCTTCGCCGAAGATTGATGCGAGTGCTTGAAAGTGAACGACTCTTCTGCCTTCGCATGGTCTTGCCACTGCTAGAGCGCCCCACCCTTGGCTTTTCAGTATGTCCTTGACGATGTGACGAGGCATTTTCGATTTTGTCCCCAGCAACGGATCTTCTGCGAACAGCCAGCCGAGCCTCTGACGCCGGAAGTGAACGACTTTTCTGTCTTCGCATGGTCTTGCCGCTCCTGCGGCGCCCTTCTCTTGTGTCCTGGCGCCTCAGTCCCATATCACCGCCAGCTTTGCGGCGATGGTTGCTGTCTTTGCCACCACGATTGCTGCTGTCGGGTTGGAGTCCTTTGGTGCGTTTTCTATCGGTGATACCCGTTTTGGCTGAATCAAATTGCTGAAGGCTTGATGTCGAGCGACTCATTCGGGCACTAACCCGGTCCTCCATGCCGCTGGAGCATCTCCGAAGCTGAGTCTGGGATTTACTGCGCAATGTTTTAGTTTTGTGGCTACTAGAACCATCATCGGTAACTTGACGACGAAAGCGCGGATTCCTGGAGGAGCCAGAGGAACTCTTTCCTTTTGGATCAACCCGAGTGGGAGATCTTCTGCCTCTTCTATCAGTGCGAGAATCGCTCTCCAAGTCATCAGAATGTTTGAGTTCCCCCAAGAGATCAGGTTCGCAGGATCGACTCAGCCTCTGGGTAACAGACAATCTCCTGGCAGATTCGTTCCTTACTGAAGCTTGGCAGTCGTCTGTGTGGCTGTGATCGTCCATATGATCCAATCCGCAAACGGTACGGCTCATGCGATGACTAGCAGATGCTCTTCTCGCCCGAGAATTTGCTGCGATGTTCCTTCGGTGTCTGGACGAACTCCTGTTCCTTCGGTGTCTGGACGAACTCCTGTTCCTTCGGTGTCTGGACGGACTCCCACGATGAACCAAGCTTTGTCGCTTGACGGCAGATCCACCGATCTTTGGCCCCAGGTAACCACAGTTCTGTTCATCTTCATCTTCTTCCGAGTCTTCTTCGTCGGATACGCAGACATGGGAGAAGTCTTCGCCGTCATCATCGATGCTTTCCAAACTCTCCAGAGAGAGGAAGGAAGAAAGTGAGTTGTGCGTCGCTGAAGATCCAAACGCCTTATCTTTTGCCAGCCTGTAGGAAGACAACGCCGAAGGACCATGGTCGCTCTTTGACGCTAAAGGATCTTTGACAAAACGAGGGTTACCCACAAAAATCTTTTTCTCATCTTTTGTCACCGCGAAGACCTCAGGCCAGTTGCCACGGTTGGACAGCTTGTGAGACTGGAATCTTCGTTGACTCCGAGACAGGGGCTTGTCGGTGACTGTAGCGTTCTCGAACGCTTGATCAAGATCGGATATCTTTAAGGAGTTCATGCGCGTCAGGTCGGTGCGCTTGTCGTCGTTGCTCTTTGAAGCCTCAATGGTGTCATCTTCTTCTGTATCAGAGTAACTCGCCTCTTCCATTCTAACAAGGGGGGTAGTATCATCTTCCATGGCTGCTGCTTCTGCAACGATGTTGGTCATAATTGCAATTGGTTGCTGGTTGTGGGACAAGCGGAAAAAATATGAGCTCTCGTCTGCCCTCAGCTCAAACCTCAGAAGCATAGCCAGCTAGCCATGAATACTGGATACTAGTACTGGAGTACCAGATTCGATTCGATTACGGTACTCCTGAAATGACGGAGGGCTACAAAAGAAAGCCACCAGCTACCGGTACCGTTACCCCGATTGGTTTGCTGGGACTTTGCTTGCCCAGTACGAGTATTAGTATAGTTTGACCACAGAGCACAGAGGGACCGCTGCAGCAACGATGTCGAACTTTTAGGTCAGGGCAAGACCACGGTATTGAAACATGGGCAAGCTAAGTAGTCTATGGGTAACTACTCTCCCAACTAACCAGCTGGCCAGTAGAACTGTAAGATCTACAGTGTAGTCAATTGTGACTCACTCTGTGACTTCTCTGCTGTTCCGCTGGTTGGCTGGGTAGCTCCAGCTCTCATGCATTTTTCGTACCGCTTACTCGTACGGTAGCTGGCTACAGCCTGTACCAGTAGCAGGACGACATGGTCAACTGGGATGGCAGCCAGCAATCTTTTCCACTTTTGCTTTGGCTCGCAGAAGGATTTTTTTTGTTTCTTGCTATCCAGGGCAGACCAATCTAGGCTAGCTAGCAAGCTAGCAGTGCATGTGCTTCCACCTAAAAGGTGAATACTCTCATCACATACTAGCTAGGAGCAGCTTTGCCTTCCCAACGTAGATCTATCTTGAAGAAAGTACCAGGTACCGGCTTCTTGGTTGATAACGAGAGGGGATGAAATTTTCTAGCTATTGTAGCTGGAGATATTAAATCTATCTTGGGTTGGCAACTGTGGTTTCCTTTCTAGATTTTTGCTTCCACAGGCAAAGCAAAGGCGGTTGCTCCGTCTTGCGCCTATTGAAGTGAGTTTACCAGGCAGCACGAGCCAGACAGCAATAGAATGGTCTATGATCAATGCAATTAGAACTTGTGGCCGCTTACCGGTACTTCTAAAGATCGACCCTTCCAATCCAGAGGCAGCTAACAGGAAATTACAGACTCTGAAATGCAGGAATGGTACCAAACGGTTGCGAACAAAAGCCTAGGTTCAACAACACAATGCGGTCCCGATTCAACTCGGCTTTCTTTTTGATCCAAAAAGTGAAGGCGGCCGACACCGCTTGGCTGCATTGTTGCTTGTCTACTACAAAGAGTACTGTACTTTCAATCCTTGTCAGGACATTCGAGGCGTCGATTGCACACTAGTCTTGGTCATCGATGGGATGGACATGGGCTGCATGCACGTGCTGGCTGGTTTATTTCGCGGGCTATAGCTTGGTTATAGGTCTACGGTACAGCAGCCAAGTGTCTGATTGTTCGACGAGTTTTGCGATACCATTACCGAATCTTGACAGGGACAACCTGAACCAGGCAGAGGCAGCTTGCGTCCGTCTGTAGAGTAATGCTAATTTGATGAACCACGCCAATCTTTTGCCCTTGAAATGTTGTCAGAGACAGGTCGGGTACAGGTGGCAGTGTGATATGTTTTGCAGTGGTGTCGCCGTTGGATATTTCCTGCAGAATTTGTTGGTGATTAGCTTGGGGACGACTGGGATCTTGCAATCTCAGTTTGACAGTGTTGCTGTTTGGTTTCGTGAATGCGTCTTCCTTGTTGAGGTGGATCGTTTTGGTGGTTAGCGTTTGGGTAGCACTAGCGCTGTGAAAAGGTTTCTGTGCCGGTCCATGAAGAGGATTGTTGGAAGCAGCCCACCATGCTACGACCTGCTGGAGATCCAGCTGGATAGCCTTTATAGCAAGTGTGCTGTCGTTGATGATGGATAGGATCATCTGTGGCTCTTGGCCGCTAACTAGCTCGGTGTCCAATACTTTGACACCACATGTAATCTCCCCAGCATCATGTTTCAATCCAAGAGAGCCAGAATGTCCAACAGGATGAACCATCGGCTGTTCGACATGAGGCACAACAGTCTCGCGAGGCGATACAGTCGGCGGTGAGACCACTTTAATTTCGCATTTGGAATCATAGTCCTTGATGATACCGGATCCACCCACGATGGCCCGTAGAAAATAGCCAATCTTGGCGCTCTCGCTGTGCAATCCACGCCTCTGCTTCACTTCCATGCTGGGTGGCACGGTTACAGGAATTTGGAAGGAGAAGGGAATCTCATAGGTACCAGGTTCCACTGTTTTCTCTACAATGATCGATCTTTCGTTCGGAATTTCAAGATCCAAGCGCAAGAACTGATGTTGGTCAGTAGCGAAATGATGGTCGTGACGCACGGTAGTGTACTCCTTGCCTTTGAAATACAAAGATATTTTGTCGGCTCGAATCTGTTTACTGGCTTTCAGGATCACATTTCCAGAGAGGCTACCGCCTACCAACGCTGTGTTGGCGCTCTGGTCGACTTGAAAGGAGATATCCATGGGTGCTAAAGATAGATGTTGTCAATGGTCAATGAAGAGTGAAAAAGAGGGTCAGACTCGACTCGACTCGTCGTGGGTCGTGGACAATCATTTTGGTATTTTTAACGAAATATTCATAAACTTTATCGTTTTGTTTACTAGTAAACCAAATCGGTTGTAAACCAAATCGGTTGATTTTTGATCGATAATTCATGCTTCCACGACGGCCAAAGTGGTGTGTTTGCTAGCCTTCCTGCTGTTGCCCACCATGTTCCCTACTGGAGTCTAGCTAGGCCCATCACCACCACGGCCCACTCCCATACCAATGCCTGGACCTACCGGTAGATCTCGACGAACACCTGGTCCGACTCCAGTACCTACTCTAGCGCCATAATTTGGTCCCCCACAAAGGCCCCACAAAGGCCCCACAAGCAAGAAGCAAGTGGTCCATCAACACCGTCCTTCTCGGGGCCCCACTCCCGCTACCACGGGCCATCAACATCATGGCCATCTCCTGGCACCGCAACCGTACCATCTACAAGCCCCACTCCACATTCCACACCAGAAACTACCCTTGTCCACCTCTAGGACCAAATCCCAGACGAACTTGAGGAAGTTAATTTAATGCTGACAAGAGAGAACTAGTAGGAGTCACCCATGATTATCCATTGAAACCTTCTCACAGAGTTTCATCAAGGACAAATCCAGCTAGTATCTGCCTTTTATTCTACCAGATACTCTCTGACAGTTTGATAGCTCCACTGATAGAGCGCCTCTTGCAAGGTTTCATTGTAGGATTCCGGCGATGATTGTCGTGCTTGTACTGATGCCACAAACTTTTGCATTGGTAGAAGAAGTCCTGCAAAGCCTTGCACAATGGCATCACGCACGGGTGTGTGCCGATATACCCACGGTGCATAGAATAGTTTGGGCATCAGGACGTTGGGAGCCTGCGTCCAATGCGAGTTGGAAAAGTAATCTTGATCGTTCCCTGCCTTGATATCCAACGCCGCCACGAGTGCCGACTTGATGCCAAAGCTATCATGCGGAAATGCAATCCGCCCCAGGAAAAACCCATAGACGTTTCTACCGGCAATGCCAGTTCCTACCCAGCAGGGACAAATGCTCTTGAATCGAATGTTGGGATACCGTCGTTGCAAGGCTCGGGCGTGTAGTAATTGTGCTAGTTTGGAGTTGGCATAAGCCCTTTGGTCGCTATAAAATCCCTTTAATCCTCCGGGTGCGGCTACCAATGGTAGAGGTTCTTGATTGTTGTCATTATCGTTGTTCTTGTCGTCATCTACAACGAGTTCACTTCCATCCGCTCCAAAGTGAAACGTAGAGGAGATCTGAATGACGGCAGGATGATGGGTCGAGTTCTGCAGCAAAGGCAGGAATCTCTCTGTCAACAAGAAATGTGACAGATAATTGATTCCATAGGATAGATCAATCCCTTGGGCAGTGGTAGGTGATGCTCCGTTCTTGTGGTGGTGGTTTCCTGACGAATAATGAATGCCGGCATTGTTGATGAGCATGTCGATACTGTCAAACTGACTGGATATTTCGTTCGAAGCCTTTTGAACCGATTCCAAATCTTCCAACTGGACTTGCACTGTCACCAATTTATTGCCAGTATTGCCTATCTGGTTCTGCAGCGCCTGGAGTTTGGTGGGCGACCGACCCAGGGCAATCACAGTGGCTCCCATGGATGTGAATCGTTTGACTAGACCGAGCCCAATTCCATTGGTCGCTCCAGTAATCACGACCTTGACTCCATCCAGTGGATAACCAGTACTGCCACCATTCTTGGTAGCATATTGTCGAGCCAATGGCAGAATGTCCTCCTCCCATTTCAGGTCGGGCTGGGGGCTTGCGAGAAGGATCCCCAATAGTATCACGACAAAGGAACTAACAATCAACATGGGGAAAGAGGAGGAAGTGCTTTTCTTGGTTTCGCCCATGGTATAAAAGGTGCACAGCTCTTCTGTACGACCGCCGCAACAGTAAAGCAATGTTGTGTTGGCGTGATTGCTTCATGCTTCTTGATGACATCGGCATGAATTCACTCGCAGAAGAGAAAAAGTGGTGCGTCAGCAGAGTTGGGGTATTCAGAAATTTCAAACCGCTTTGCTGCTTTAACAGTTAAAATCCATAAACAGCTCTGCAGGTTGGAACACCCATCAACAGCTGCCCGTTTCTCGATCTTCGGATCTGAAAATCCGATGATCCCAGCCATCATTAGCAATTATCCGACGGTTGGTGTTGCTTGATTCGATTCATTCTCATACCATATGAAACGATAATACAATGTCTGGAAAGTCGGCTGCTTTGAGAGCCTTGCTTTTGGCGCTTCTGACCCTATGGACGGGGAAACCTTTGAACGCTTTCTCGCCGGTCCCTTGCCTTCCATCCGAAAGGCGAGTCAAAGGAACTCCTCATCATGGCTTGTGGGCCATTTCGTCCCGAGAACTTCGAAAGCGAGAAGAAGGAGAGAAGAGAGTTCTCTTAGAACGAAGGAAAAAGGCAGCCAAGCGAAAACTCGGCAAGACGGCAACTTCGACAACAACAGGCAAAAAGACAACAAGTGATGCAAGTAGTAGTATCGGTACCAAAGTCAAGTCAACATCCGTCAAGAAGCAAAAGTCTAAAGCATCCCTGACACAACGGTTGCAACGAGCCACTGCCAAGGCAAAAGCAGCTGCCATTGAGGCCGATTATGCCAGCAAGAAACAGCAAGTGCTCGAAGAATCATCGGCCAAACGACCCTTTTCCAATTCCACTGCCACGGCCACTAGATCCTCTTCTACTTCTTCGACTAGGACTAGTAGTACCACAGAACAGCCACGCCTGGCCACATTGACGCAATTGACACGTATTATTGACAAAGAACTACGGGCAGCATCTGATGGGACGGCTACGTTCAATGTCCATGGGACGACCAATCCACCACCCGGAATTACCCGAGATTCCATGCGATCCTTACTGGAAGAAAATGACGCGCAATGGCAAAAGAGTCAACGGCAGCAACAACGTGCCGCCTTGGCCTTTGGAGTAAATCTCACCACAACGACGACGAGTGCCACAACCAACGCACATCTCGTGAAACATGTGGCGGTCGTCATTTCCAAACCATTGGTACAGGATCAAGTGACACTCGAATATGCCTGTCGTCTGCGGACTCTGGCCAAGGCTATGCAATCCGACAACTCACATGAAGAGGAGAATAAAAAGACAAGTGAGGAGGAAGAAGAAGAGGGAGATGCTACAAATAATGAGGAGGGTCCTTATCAACCCACTGTGATTTGCTTTTTGGGTGGCACATGCAGTGGAAATTTGGTGTCGGATGCCGATGCCGGATACATCTACTTTAAGCACCTGTGTGAAGCCAATCAAATATCATTGGAGGGGGTGGACATTCTCTTGGAAAAGACCACCTTGGGTAAGGGAGCGTTAAAACATGTCATGCGACATCTTATGAAAGAGTATGTTCCAGAATGGCTCAAGGAACCAGTTAGAAGAACGCAAGGGGTTGCCACGGACAGTGACGATTATGAGGATGAGGACGACATGGAAGATGATTACCACCATCGCATCATCCCAACTCCATTTTCTGTGTCCAGGAACAAAGTCCAACTTCACTTTACCCTTTTCTCTTCGGATTACGATCTCTGTCGAATCAATGACATTCACTACAGATCTCCACAACAATCCGTATTGAGGCACTTGTTGGAACTAGAACAGGAGGGTCGTGGTGGCAACAGCAATCGTGGCATGGTCCAGACGACGTGGAGCTACCGGTTTTCCACGTATCCGTACGTTCACTTTAAGGATGCCATGACGGCACATTTGGGAAAATGCTACCTGTTGGCCGAAGAGCTCACCCCTGTCTTGGTGAATATTCGAGGAGTGGTGGATGGTGTAAGTACTGTACCGGTACATGTAGTGCCCATTGGGAATCGAATCGACCATTCTTGCAATTGCATTGTCCCCTCTTCTCAAACCCAAACTGTGTTTTTGCGGTTGTGTGATGTTTCGTGATGTGGTTGCTTGCGTTCTCGATCATTAGACGGAATTCTTTCAACGCGACAATTACCGAGTACTGGTATCCATCCGCAGGTCCTTTGTCAATGATATGGAACATTTTTACAAGAGCCAGCCATCTCTCAAATCCACACTTCGTCAATACGTGAGCAACAGCGATTATCCTCTGGATGTGGTGTTGGAAGGAGCATTGCTTTCCTTGGGCAGATGCTTGGACTTGGTTCGGCCCGCTGGTCTGTTGATTGGCTACGTCCCCAAAGATGATTGGAAGACGGCCGAACGAGTACTCCAACACGCTGTGCGTCAACTGCGAGATGCCTGTGATCCCGATCACCCATTGGACCCTACCGATTGGGGCAAACTGGATCATTGCTACTATGATAATGGTGCTGGGAGCAAGTCTGCCACGGATTTCTCCGAGAACGACCTCATGGAGCTCACCCAGTGGAGGATCCAAGAAGAAGGAGATGACGACGAAGAAATGTAGATGTATTCATCTATGCTATGGTAGCCAGAAGACACATTCTGCCGTGCATGTTAGGTCTGATGGGCATGAATAATGGATGAAGGGGCCCATATTTTGCTGATCATACGTTATCATTGCCCCAACTCTGTGAATGCCTGGAGAAAGAAACCAGAAGAAAATGATTGGTTACTTTTTACTCTCATATTGCGCTGGCGTCCATGTCTTCATGGTGAGAGCATGAATTTTGCTCATGTCTTCCTGCAAAATCTCATTGACCATCCGATGCCGCTTGAGCAACGCCACCCCTTCGAACTTGGGGCTCACAACAATTAGCTCCAATTTATAGCCACCATCGCAGGACGATCCACCCGAAATGTCGGTACAGGCAACGTGCTCGGCTTCCAGTGCTTTTGCGACCTGCGGACGGTAGGAAGAGGACCGTGCAGTATGAGAAACGAGGCAGTGTCTTTGTCAAGATGGACCTCCATCAAAGGAATAACCATAAAAACATCATACCTTCTCCTGTATTTCTTCTTCAATCCCCATGGCCAATCGTCTGCTTGCTTCAAAACAACTCTAGAATCGCTTGCACTCCAAAGGTTCTGGGCTCTGTTCTTATGTGATGTGCTGAAATGAAAATGGCGGATCGAGATCGAGACGATGAGAAGGGGTAAAATATCCATCTCTAAATCCTTTCCCGAAGCATTTGGCATTCAAAGATAATAAGCCCATCGGTGGCGACTTGACCAACCGATGTCACTTGAAAGAGCTCTTGAAAGATGATGAAGCAATGGCGGCAAGGTGGAGATACAATGCTCGACCTTCTGCCCAAGCAACCAACAGTCCCTTATCTACTAGTAGTCATCAATCAAGTGAAGCTACTTTGAAGGAACGGAATTGGTGGAAACTCGCAGTGGTGGCATTGGTGCTTGGCTCTTGGTTTCTCTTTCCCACTGTACCCGCAAGCGACTCCTCTGATGCTGTCGATGCGGCCGTCCAGGAATTCTACGTTCCCAGTACTGTGAGTATTCGAGAGGGTGTTCGTCAAGGTGTTATAGTCAAAAGAACTCGTGGAGATTCGGTCTGTGATTCATCGCCTCGTTTTGAGAGAAATGCCTGGGTTCTACTCGCACAAAAGAAGAGTTCTACATCGGGACGAGACAGCTTGGGTCTGCTGGTCAAAACGCTGGATCTGTTTCGGCAAAACTACCTAGCCATTAGCAATCATCGAGCAAATGTGGACATATTTCTGTTCCACACGGGAGACTTTGATGAGGCCGACCTGGAGTACATCGAGAACCGCCTTGTCCTCAACGAGAAAGAAGGAAAAGGCATTCTCCGACTGGTAGATCTCAACAATACTGTATATTGGTCGCTACCAGATCTACTTCAACACGACAATCCAGATTCGTGGAAGGGAAGTGAAATATATCCCGTCGGATACAGACACATGTGCCGCTGGTTTGGAATGCAGCTCTGGCACTTTTTCCAAGATCTCAACCAACAACAACCACCGTGCAACTATCGGTACATTGCACGGCTCGATGAAGATTCCTTTATTCTATCACCAATTCAATACGATCTATTTGACCTTATGCAATCGCAACAATACATCTATGCCTATCGCATGTGTGCCTTTGAATTGGCCGAAACACTCCCCAAACTATGGTTCAAAAAGTGGCGCAAGAGTCTGGGCAATCACTCGCAACGATACATTGATCCCAATCTCTGTGGCTTTTACAACAACTTTTTCATTGCTGACTTGCAATTCTTTCTCTCGCCCAACGTTACCAAGTTCCTCCACGATATTGATCGACGTGGCTTTTTCTATCGAAAGCGATTCGGGGACTTGTTGGTGCATTCCTTGGCGGTCTATGCCTTTGGCCCTCCGGACCGAATTCACCGCTTTTTGGATTTCACCTATCAACATACCACCATTGACTACTTTAAAGATCGTGAAAAGGAATGTATATCCTGGGGGAGCCTTCAGGCGGGGTACAATGATCCTAGCGGCCAAGAGATTGTCGAACGCTATTACCATACTCATGTCGTCGCGAAGGATTGCCCTACAGCCAACCTAACCTCCATTTCGCAAGAGGACTTGTCTCCCACTTACTCACACTTGCCCAACGATAAAAAGGTAGCGCTCATGACATTTCATGCGGGGAAAGTGGAGCTCCCAGGGCAGGGTGTGTTATCGGGTTGAGAAACTATGTTGGTCGTTGCGGGACGAAACCAAATCAACGAGTCGAGTTTAGCCATGGGCAGCACCGCGGAGGTCAAAGAATAGACAGGCATGCGATCAGGGGGACTTGACTGGACTCGACTCTACCAGTACTGGAGTTGTGTATTGAAGGCTGTTTGGGTATCTAATTGATATTCCAGTCAATGTGGTACATGTATATTGTGCAGTCAACCGCAAGGCTTCGTACCAACGACGACGGGTACGGCAACTACACAAACGAAAGGAGATCAAGTATTTCTTGATGCATTTGCAGAAGATTAAAGTGGAGGATCGAGCTGCGCAGATCAAAGCATCGAACTTGCTCCCAGCTCTATTTCCGGCTTTCGCCGGTAGTGAGCCAGAAATGTTGCGCGAATTCAATTCTCTGGTGGACACCCTGAAGCTGACGATGGGGTCAAAGAGAGAAATTGAAAGGCAGATTCAGGTATTGGTTCTTTTGGTTCAATCTTTTCAGTATCGTTGCTACTATACCGAACTGGATCTGTTCTTGCAATTTCTTCGTTCGTCAGAGCAGGATGGCACGCTGGAGCAGCTGCTTCATGCGCTAGCTGACGACAAGAAGTATTCACAGTCAGTGAAGTCCCTTTTGGACGGACTTCGAAGTGAAGGAGACGGTATCGGTTGGAATCCCGCACCGACCGATAGCAAAGGCCGAGATGGCCTTCGCCAGTTGATGAATGCTCTCCGGACCAAGGGCGCCTACAAATCTGGCATCTTCGAGCCTGAGGCAAGTTCGGCTTCGTCCGAGGAACTTGAGGAAATGGCCACTTTCTACTAGCTAGCTAAAAAGGCTGGCCGGGGCAGGCGGGGTTTGATGTCTCCTGAGGTCTGAGGTCCGGTCCTATTGATTGGGAATCACCAATTTCCCGCCTACTGGTTCATTTTTGCGACGGTATCTTGCTTCAACCTTGAGCTCCTTGTCTTTGAGGTATCCATCAGGGATTGGGCAAAGATGGGACTGCGGCGACACTGCAAGTTTCTCTGGAACTCAAGGCCACACAGCACCACACTTACTACCAAGAACGACAACGGGAACGGCTATACCGCACAGGGTTATCAAAACACGAAATTGGAGAGGCAAAGGGGAAGTCTTGACTGCCAAGCCCATTCCCATAAATTAAATGCAACCCTCTATTATTAATAATTCTTATTCAAAAACTGCATACTTCTTGTTATTGCTGCATAAACTCGGCAGGCTGGATCACAAAGGCGTCATCAAGCTCATCGCGAGGCTTTCTCCATGGAGTGGGGACCAGCAAAGTGTTGTTGAATTCCACTCTGGTGTGCGCCTTGCCGCTGATTGTTATTGGATGCTGCCAGTCCCAATGGATTTGCTTTCCGCCGCTCAGATGCATCTTGCGGGCAGCATGAAAGTGCCACGTTTTTATGATATCACAACCATAGGCAACTTGAATGTTGCGTAGTTTTTTGGTCACGGCCCACAATGCCGCATCCTCAGCTCCCTGCATATTCATGGGAAAGTAGGCCATCCCATTGGGTTCGCCATTGGGACCTGTGAGCACTCCCCGTTGAAAGGCGGTCTCGCTGATTTTTTCCTCCAACAGTGCACGAGGAAAGACGTAGCTATCCCAGGATAAAGTAGTAGCTTTTGCACATCGATTGGGAATGTTGACAGTCCCGGACTCTGTTTTGGATTTCCGCTTGGAAACACCCTGAGTGGAGGCAAACTGAAAGAATGCTTGAACCCTGGGTGGAGCTCTATCTTGCTGGTATCCTTGTGTTGGCAAGGTCAGCAGTGTGCGGTTTTTGATAAGGCTGGCCCATGAGACACTGTCATCAAATGCTTGATCTGCATTACCCATGATGACAACCTCACTGGTAACAATGTCTGGATTGCTGGCATAGCGGAACATGTCAAAGTAACTTGGCTGTCCTTCTGGTCGATCGATGCAGGTGAGAATTGGCTTGTTCTTGTTTTTGGGTAATAATACATCATGAATCTGGTTGTCGTCGCTCCAGCGTCGAAACCTTCGTTGAAATTGTTTCATTTTGGATCGAAAGTGATCACAATTGGAAAGCTCAGTGGCAGAATCGAGGATTATGACTACCTGATCAAAATGTGGATTGTTTAGGTTGTTTGCAATGGATGCCATGATTTCAGCTCGATGAAGTTTGTTTTTGGGTGTTCCTTCTTCTGTCGGTTGCTCGGCCCAAAAACTGGTAACCCAGGAGAGTGTCTTGAGCTTATTCCTGGCAGCCAGTTCTTGGAATCTGCCTTGGCTCAAAAAAGCGTTCTCCTCTGTAATCTTGTTCTTCTTGGAGATATCCGAAGAAGTATCTTTCAAGACAGCTTTGCGCTTGAAGGTGACTGTACGTGTATCTTCCAGACCTCGAGCATGCCCAAATCCAAGGGCCATCGATACAAGGGCAAGGAAGATGAAAATTGCTGCACAAAGCACATGTCTCCTGGTCCTTCCAGGTTTTGGATTGGAGGAGGAAGGGGAAAGACTTGTATTCTTGTTATTCATTCTCTTGGCTGGTCAAAAAATAATGAGCTTGCCATGGGCAAACCATTTATTTGCAACACCATGCATTGTAATACTGTACCTTGCTTGCAGCAGCTCTTGCAGCTCATCAGCTCTTTTCCTCCTTTGTCCCAACATGTTTCTTTCCTACATTCGGCGCTTCCGCAAAAAATGTTCCAGGCTTTGGAAACAGAAAATGCTAGGTAGATACGGTAAATATAGAACTAATTTTGCCAAAACAATCATCATTATTACCACATCTACCTCTTACAAAGCAGGCTTCCTGTCCAGGTCACGAGGACAAAGCCAGCTCAGCGACTGGTCAAGCTGTTTTAAAGCTATCAGAACCGCTAACAGTCGATGGCGGATACCAGTACATGTACCGGTACCCTTCTCATCGAAGCCAACATGATGACAGTTCTGAATGATCGAGTGGACATAAAAACGAGGATACAGCAAAAAGACAATGGCCGACGACGACTTTGATGACGGGTGGGGCGAAGATCTCGACGATCTGATTGACGACGAAGACGATGTAGGCGAATTGAATCCGTCAGCAGATGTTGACCAAGGAGAAGGATGGGGCGACGATCTGGATGATCTGGAAGTGGACCAACCGTTGGCACCACCCCCAGTTGCCGCACAGACAGAAGACTCGGGGTGGGGTGATGACGATGACCTGGACTTGTCGGATACAGAGGATCCTCAGCCTCTTCAGGTTCAAACTCCAGCTCCGCGACAAAAATCCAATCCACAAGTGGAAAATGTGTACCACGAGCTCGTCTCGTATGTGGAATCTCTCATGATTCTTCTGCCTTCCATCAATGCTGTGCTTCAAGCAGAATACAATCATCCCGAAAAGGCGCAAGAGTTGCTTCATTACTACCGCGAGAGGCCGCAATTGCGCGAGTACACGATCGAAAAGGAGCTCGCTCGCATGGATTATCAAGTCATGTTACTACATGCCAGCGGCGAAGAGCCCACTGTGGTCGACAACAAGCAAGAAATTGCACAGCTATTTAAGCTACAGAATGAGCTCGACTTGTTGGTACGCTGTGCCAATCAATCTCTGCTGGCAGATTTGTTACAAGTCATGACAAAGCCTGATGGACTTGTTCGCCCTCAATACATGGCGACCTGTCTGGCGAATGCTTGCAAGTTTGTCCTAAGATTTAGTCCAGGCATTGAAGGTGGCCTCGTGGAGTGCACCAGTCAGTTGGTACTGTCCCTGCCGGAACCATCTGGTGACAGATATCCTGTGGCAAATTTAAAAGTCCACATTGCATTGGGTGTCCCAACGAATCCACAAGATCCTGCCACAATTGACTACAAACTGCAAACCATGGATATCATTATTCCATCGATGGAAGTATTGCGGCCCACGGCTCAATTCTTGGTAGAATCAGGTCTATTGGAACATCCGCCCATGTCACCGTTTCCACAAACTCCTGGTGGACCAAATCCGTTCGAGGACAATGACACGTTTCGTGATGTCTTTCTGCAACAATCCCAAAACATGCTCCAGAACTCAACCGTGGGACTCAAGTCGGCATGGAAACAACTGGATTCTGTGGCCGGTTTCTCCACTAAAATGAACATGATGCAAAAGATACTGCCAACAACAGACGGCTCGGTTCTGGAAGCCGCCATGCAGGAACAGGAAGCCTATCAGAGACAATTACAAAATAATGCACAGCAGCAACAGAGGCTCTCCAACAACATCATGCCTACTGGAGATGACACGGTCCCTGTGTCCTATCCACCTCAAGCTGCGAGACCACCACCGGCAGTGCCTCAGGCCCGTCCAACATCACTATTGGGGAGCTTCATGGGGGCGATTGCCAAGTCGGTGACTTTGCCAGAAGAAGATCCTTCGATCTATGAGCATTACGGCAATCCACATGCACCGCCACAGCCTCCATCAAGTTTTCCTCGGCCTGCAGGGGGAGCTGCTCCAATGGTTCAGTTATATCGCCAGGAAGAAAAGCCCACTCCTAGTCAAGGGCCACCGGCTGCACCTCTGTCACAGCCAATACCAGCAACACAGCCCGAAAAGAAGACTTCTCCTTGGCTAAGTCGCATGACGAAACCTCTTCCCACGCCACCGGCTCCGTCGCAACCTGCACAGCTTCCTGTTCCTGCTGCCCCTACTGTACCTGTTCCGGCGCCCCAAACAGCGCAAAAAGACGATATTGATGATGACGAAGATCTTGGCTTAGATGATGGATGGGGTGAGGACGATGACCTGGCGCTTGATGTTGAAGACGACGACACCACTGGAGAGGAAGAAGCAGTGGAAGCTATCGAAAGGAAGCCAAGCGCAACGATACAGCAAGCCCCTCCCGTGGCGAATAAGACTGTGTCTCAACCGAGCACAGTACAACCCAGCTCTCGACAGTTCAGCTCTGTTCCGTCCCCCAAACCAACCAGTTTCGATGCCACTAAATCCAACCTCGCATCCAAGAACCCCGACGATGACATCGTACCGACACGCAAGCGCTGGGTGAATCCCAGACCGGGTCCTCGCTACTTGCGTCCGCTCTAATGTGAATCTTCATACATAACAGTAGCCAGTGCTTGGGAGAATTCTTCTACTGTTTAAACAAACGAGAGAGCGAGACGCACATAATCTGCCTGGTTAGCTAATGATAGTCTAGGAGTTCTCGAACCTCGTTCTCCGTGGCATTTTTTGGAATCCGTACTCCCCGATAGTGCCCTGAGGATTCCGCTTTTTCCTGCGGTTCCTCCGTAGATTTCTTTCGCACAGGTCTCTGCTTTCTACCGGCCGATCCTCGCAGCCCCTTGTCGGCCCTCCCAGTGCGGACTGAGTTGTCCTTGTGATGATGCCCCGGGCCATCCCTTGACTTCGTTCTTGGCGGGGCTTCTTTCTTTTCCCTGCTTCTTCCGGGAAGGTCACTTGGATCCACTCCAGAGAAACTAGAGTGCAGCTTTTTCACCGATTCTCGTACTGGCCGCCCCGGGGAGCTCTCGTTAGATCGAGTCCGAGCCATCAAACCTCGTCCGGAGGCATCGGATGATTTAGCTCTCGAGGGCGCTGCCCTCCCCATTCCGCTGTCGTCCGATTTGGTCCTGTTCGGAGGCTTGCGACGTGCTCTAACTCGTGGCTTCCGCTGCTTTGGATCCTCTTCCTTGATGGCGTCCAGTTGTGGCAGCTCGTCGTCGTCCTGCTCCGCTGAAAGAAAATCCAACGTGTCTCTCAAGGACCGATTATGTACTTGCTGTGCTCTGGCAGCCCGGGTGCGCGCTGTGCCCCCCTTCTTTGGCGCTTCGTTGCCCAAATGAGTTCCTGTCCTGGGGCCTCTGGCAGAACCATCTCCTCTATCCTCTGACCGGCGGCGATGTGCCGGTGGAGTAAGGGTTGGTGGCTCTGGTGCGAGGTCAACATCGTTAATGGCCAATGATTGGTCCAATTCCTGCAATATGCCTTCCAATTCCAAAGACTTTTCAGAAACGTCAATGGCATCCTTGTCATTCTCTAGTTGCGAGGGATCAATTTCGTCCTCTGTCGAATTCATTGTCGGAAGAACTTTCTTCATTGCCGAACTCCAGATCGACTTTTCCTTCGCAGGCGCGGTCTTTTCCTTATCCGATGGACCGTACTGTACAGTAGGACCCAGACTTGTCACTCTCTTGATCGTGTTGAATAGTCCGGCTGTGACACTTGTAGATGTCCCGTCTCCCGTTTCGCCGCCGACGCCTTTGTCATCCTTTTGTTGCGCTGCTGTATCCGCTTCTTCATTTTTGGTGCTCTCCACTTTCTCCTCCTCCTCCTCAAGCTCGATCGAATCGTCGTCGTCCACGTACTGGCTGCCTGGTAAAGCACCTTTTTGGGACTTGGCAAACATTTTGTTCCACATTTCTTTCGGCATATTTCGGTCGAATTCGAAGGATCTGCTTCTCTTCGGTGCAACCCTTTTAATGTGCTTCAACATGGTCTTCATCCCAAGCAACTCAGACGCAGCGACTGTGGGGTCCCTCCCTTCAGGAATGCTTTCCAATTCCATTTTGGGAGAATCACCCTGTTGATTGTGGTTGCTCCGTCCAATAAGCTCGACCCCTGATTTAAGCTCATCAGGTAGCTGCGTTTGCTGCACAGACTCATTGGTCTGTATTTGCGTTTTCTCAAGGTCCATGAGGTTCAATTGCATGAACGAGGCCTGATAATCCTCGGGCATGTCGTTGTTCCCCTGCCACGAAGAATCGTTGGATTTTGTTGTTCCAGTTGACATCATGGAAGCCTCCGATTGTTGTCGCAGCAAGAGACCCCTCTTTGTACCCAAATTGTGAGGTGCGACGGACGGTCGTCTAAGACTGCCTGCTCCGGATGCCCTACGAACCCTGGGTTTCCCAGCGGGTTGTCGTTGGAGTGCATTTGCATTCGAGGGACAGGCGTCACTTTGAATCGCCACGGCTCCGCGTTCTAGCACTGATTCCAAAGTAACGGACGACATGGTCGAGTTTGTTGATGTAGAACGCGAATGACCAGACTTTTCTCTTTCCGGCTGGTTCAGTGCAGGCCCACCTGATGATGGCGGGTTACTCCAACGACTTAGACTTGCAGCAAGCGGAGCTACTTGGTCGTCGTCGTCGTCGTCTTCCTCGGAATGATTCTCCTCCTCCTCGTCTTCTTTTGTCGGTTTTTGTTTCGTCCCATCTTCTGACGTTTTTCGCGGGTGGCGTTTCTTTCGATGATGGGTTGGCGCCTTATCTTTGGTCGCAGTACTGTCCTGTATGGTTGGGGCTATTGGAACTTGCCCACTGTCCATGAGTTTACTGTCTTGTCCTGGCTTTTTAGAAGATTGTCGATGCCACGATGTCACGGACTCGGCAGCACTAGTCTCCACGGGGTTTTCATTCTCGTCGTCGTGCTCACTGTCATCTGAATCATCTGATTCTCCATCGTCGTCGTCATCTTCATATTCAATAGCCACAACAATCTTCATGGGCTCAGGAGAGTGTCCCCCGGGTGTGTCGACCATGATTTTGTAGCCAACGCCCCCACGCTTTCCCAAGTACTTTATTCTGGAACTTGGCATTGTTGCTGGATCAAATTCTTTTTCCTTTGCGTCCGAGTCTCGTTCCCCTTTTTTGGGTTTTGAGGACCTCCCATGCCGATCTGGCGTCTCTGTTTTTTGCGACAATGCCTTTTCTTTGCTTGCCGCTTGCACGAAATCTCCCATGCTTTCTTCCGGGATGACAGATCCACTTTCCTTTGCTGTTGCTGCTTGTGATGGAGGTGGTATTGCTGCACTCATGTTGGAGTTGTGAAGCCCCAGTAATTGTTCTTGCTCGTAGTTTTTGTGAAAGGCTGTGAAGCTTCCCAAGCTTGCTTCTACACCCGCAGTGGACGGTTTGACAGCGCCACCCCCGTATTGTTTCATTGGATTCATGAGATTCCCAAGACTGGCCGATTGTTCATGTTGTTGCTGTTGTGTTTGTTGTTGCAGTAGTTGAGGCGGGGTTTGCTTCTTATTTTTGCCTCCATAGGGCGCTACGGGGTCTTCGTCGTCATCGTGCAATCCCAGCAAAGCCTCTTGTTGGTAATTTTTGTGAAATGCGGTAAAGCTCCCCAGACTGGCTTCTGGAATCATATTCTTACTCAACGTGGAACCAGCGAGTCCAGTTGACCGTTTGTCCTTTTGTTGTTGCGAGTATTTCTGGAAGTCTCCCAGGCTGGCCTCCTCAAAATTGTCCTTTGGTTTATTTCTCGCCGCATCCAATGTAGCTTGAAGCTCTGAGCATCCACTGACGGTTCTATGCGGCAATCGAGGAGCCCCGCCTTTCTCGGTTTTGGAAGGTGATCGAGTAGGACTTCGGGATCGACTGCGCTCGTTCTTGTTGGGTTGCGTTCGTTCTCCTCGACTGCTATGATGCTGTTGTGGTGCTGCTGTTCCTGGATCTGCAGAAGCCTTTGACTTTCGTATTCGTGCAGGAGACTTGTTGGCCCCGTCGTGATGTTTGCCCGATGCGCCCATGCCGATCCCACTGCTTCTTCGAGAATCGCGACGGGGTTTCTTGTCGTTGCTTTGGCTTCGCTGTCTCTGTTCTTCGACTCCTTCCGTCGTGCTGTCACGGCCACGCCGCGAAGAAGAAACCCGCCCAGACGATGACATCCCCTCCTTGTTCCGAGTGCTGCCCCGTTTCGTCTTCTTCTTCTTGACATTATTGTTGTTGGGTGTACCGCCATCGTCTGCCATCTTCTTCCTTCAGCACAGGTCTGCAAAATGGTGCTATCGTCCCTCTAAGCTTTGTCGTGTTGTGGTACTGTACGGTAGACAACCGCCCCTCAGTTTCTTCAAACTCGTATAAGTGACAGTCTCAACGTCTCGACAACAACCAGCCAGGGCAAGAAGGTCTTGGACATGAACCGCCAGAGGTGAATGGTGAATCTTGGGGTGTAACGACAGCAGCCACCCAGAGACAACGAGCAGAGGGAGTTAAAGAGAAAGTACCAATTGATATCTATAATATATTACCTCATCTACCTACTTTTCACAAGACTCAGCATCTTTCTTTTATGTCCTCGCAGCCCTTCTCACTTCTCATGCTTTTAATTACTAGCTAGCTAGCTAGCTAGCTCTAGTAGTAAGGTTTTTTTAGAAGGGTTGTTATCTACGGAAGCATCCAAGTCATTTGTCATTTGACAACAACTAGTCTAACTCTGCAGTCTCAAGGACAAGTGTGAGGTGCGAGGTCCAAAGCTGGCACCACATTATTTAAACATCACGGCGGTACAGTGGCTTTGTACAGTACACCTACTACACTATTTAATACCTTGAGAGCTTTGCAAGAGTTTCTGGGTGGTCGCCACATCTTCTGTTGCCACGATGTTGTATGCAGGCTCATACCAAGGAGCTACAAAACTGCCGCTGTCTATCCGGATAGCTTCATGTACAAATAATCAAGCTAGCCTCTTCCAGGGCCAAGTTTGTTGTTACAATTTTTCCAGGGGTCGAACGATAAGAAATGATAGGCTGGTACAGTCGTACTGGAGCTGTGGGTTGCTTTTGGTACCAGTACGGTACAGTCGTACGGTACTGTAAATTTCGTCTCCTGGAGACGACTTGCTTTTAGGGGTAATGGTACGGATGGGGGCAGAGGTTTGAATTATACCCCGCGCGCATTACTTAGAAGGCCCTGTAGAAGTCTACGTATTCGACTAGTATTGTATTGACGGGATCATCAACGCATGTACATGCACATGAAAGTCGCCTTGCGTTCTCACATTTTAAAAGTTGGCTCCCTAATTTTTCGGGGTCTGTCCTGTGATTGATTGGACGCTTGATCTTTTTCAATGACTGACATTAAATGACGTACGAAGTGCAATGCGAATCTCAGAATGGTAGTTGTAGTAATAAATGTTTTTATATATAGATTATTTTACCCTATATCCCTACCTTTCATACTTATAACAAGAACCGTCTTCTCGCTGAACATTTCATCGTATTGATCTTCTCCTAGGACAGAAAGCCTAATAGTATCCTTAAATCTTGAAAGCATGTCTCTCATTCGTTGTGGCATGGCAAAGTTCTTTGGATCCCAATTCAGCTTCTTCAATAAGAATAAACCACTCATGGTTCGCACCCTTAATAACACCACGTAAGCCCAGTTTTGACAGTATCGCCATGAATGTTCCAATAACCACACTGCAGTATATCCCTGAATTTGTGTCCAGTTGTCGCAGAATTGCTGATATTCGGGAACTGCTTAAG